ACTATTTCCGCCCAAACAGCCTTACCTATTCTTTGCTATTCGTGATTCTCGCTTCTTATATTTTTGGGAAATTTATGGAAAGAGTCCTACCGACGAAGACTATTCGCATTAAAAATTGGGAATTTAGCTTAAATCCAAGTTTGTCAACTTTAAAATTATTATATTGAATCTTATTTTTTTCATATTTATATTGAATATATTTGTAATGTGTTCTATCGATTCTACAGGTCCTTTTAACTATAAAGAACACGCGTGATATTTGTTCACGTGATTAATTTGAACTAAAGTATTTATAGTAGGTTAAGAAATGTATTTAGGTCAAAAATTACATAAAATGTTATTTGCAGGACCAGTAAGCGAAAATTTGAATTATCAACAATGACATCACTACGATATATGATATTGTAGATTTTTTTTCATGTGTTTTTGTGTTGAAATTATTTTTATGTTTTCAGAAAACATCAAGGACACTGAATTTCTTACACTGCTCAAGACTAACATAAATAATTAAAAATACAATTAAATAAGACTTACGGTGCTTAACACCCAAAATCGAAAAGTCAAACATGGTAAACTTGGATTATCAGTTGTAGAAACGACCTAATATTTTCAAAAGTTATTTCAATGAAAGAAAATTGAAGCAAAGAATAAAAGATGATATATTACCGAATTGACCATAAGGTTAATTGTTGAATCATCATCTTTTTCTAAATTTTTTTCATCATCATGAACCTTTCCATGATCAGAATAATTGACATTATTAGAGTCTTCAAATTTGTCTTTATTAGAGTCTTCAAATTTGGCTTTATTATAGTCATCATAATCTTTACCATCATTAGTTGTATCAACTTCTGTTATCATCTTGGAACGTACAATTATTTGAAAAAAGGTAAATATTTGTGAAGACGAATATTAAAAATTATCTCCTAATTATAAGTGAAATATTCATGTAGGAATTGAGTGCTATATCTATACTATATATATTTATTTCTTTTTACAATCTAGTGATAAAGATAAAGTTATTTTTATCTAAAACTCTTATAATATTTTTATATAAATTATAAAATTTTTATGGAAGTTGATTAAATTATTATGGCCTATCCTGTTATAGTTTATCAATAGGTGATTTTCTTGATAGCGATTAAGAAATTTTTGATGACTTTCTTTATCAGTCGGGAAGTAACATTTTAGTTAGTTTTTTTTTGTAATTATTATACTGAAACAGATTTACAAAATAATACAGTACATGTCCTCGGGACCATAGTGAAAAAATTACAAAAATTCACTTAGAGGAGGTTTGCTTATATGAAGTGCAAAATTCATAAGGGTTCTTATAAGTTGAGTCCCAACTGTACTTGCATTTAAATAGCACTTAAGTAGAGTTCCAATCCGTTATCCGAATAATTATAGGATATCCGAATATCTGTCAGATTATTCGGATATCAATAGTAAACGGATATCCGAATAAATCAGATATGGATAAACGGATGACGATTTATCCGGATTGGAACTCTACACTTAAGGGGTGCGACTGTATATTTTTTTCCTATAATAATAATAAACAGTAATAAATGCATGAGGAAATTGCATAATGAACGATGTTTGACCAAATTTGGATCAAAATAATAATCACCAATTTGAAACAGAAAATACTTAGGTATCATATGTAGATTAACTATCAATGATGTGCAAAGCTCTAGATTATGTTAATTCACTATTAGAACCTTTTTAAAGAATGAATATCAATATGAGGTTGTATTTATGAATTTAGTCGTGAATTAATTTATTTATTTTTATTTTTTTTTAATACCTCATAAATTATTAATTAAATTTGCCTTATAAAAAAAGTGGTCTGGATAAATACATGTTTCTATGGAAAAGTACGGTGATTTCTGGAACGGTGTAAGGGGCAAAGTTACCCACCTCGATGCTGCGCCTGGTCCGGAGGATGATCATCAAAATTTCGAAAATTTTGAAAATTTCGAAATTTTGACAATTTCGAAAATTTTGAAAATCGCGAAAATTAACTAAATTTCAAAAAAAATAAGAAATTTGGGAAATTTAGAAAATTTTAGTAATTTCAAAAATTTAACAAATTTTAGAAATTCATATGTAAAATAAGTGCCCCGAATTTTGCTTGAATAAAAAAGTAACTCACAGAGTTCGAAAAAGTAAAAACCTTCAAGTCTTGAAAAGTCTTGTATAGAAGTGTTTGTCTTTAACTAAATTACCCTTTAAAATTGTTATAAATTGCTACCTTAAATCTTTAAATCGTTGAACTCTTGTCCCCGTGATATATATTGTGAAACGTGGAGGTAACTCCGGAAGACACGTGAGGGTCGGAGGTCAGAGTGCTGCAGTATCTGCATACGGGCATGCAGATCTCTAACCTTTAATAGACTTCCCGGGGATAAAAGAGCTAAAACTCTTTTAAGTAATAAACGGTATAAGAGAGTTTTAATAAATTAAAGAGATTAAGGGAGGAAAGGAGGTATAAGGGATTAATGAATTTTAGTAATTTTAGTACGTTTAAGACATTAAAATATTAAAATAAGTATAAGTATTATAAATTGTAAAAGAGTTATGTGAAACATAGTGCTGTAAATTGTATATATTCAGAGCATAATCGCTCGTAATAAAGAACAACTCTTGGTAGTTTCGCTCATTAAATAAATTGAAATCTTTATTAAAATAATTATTAATTTCCAATACATAACCTCCGAATACATAATAATTTCGCTAAACTAACCCCCCTTTCACAATTCCGCCATCACTAAATTGACATACAGTACGTCTACTGTTGTCTTGCCCACGTGATACATACCTGTAAATTGTCCGATTAATCTTGACATACTGAGATTAATCGTGGTTCCTGATTCCAACTGACCCAACGTACCGAGGTTGGTTGTGGTTATTTTATTTGTTTCCAACTAGCCCGATGTATTGTGGTTGGTTGTAGTTATTTGTTTTGGTTCTAGTTACCCGACGAACTGAGGTAACTGTGGTTTTGAATATTGGAATACCTGACATACTGTGGTGTTCCTTCCCTAAAGTTAAAAGCCCATAAGTGGTCCATCCTAAAGTAAATAGAAGATTAATATTAGTGGTATCACTCCCAAAGACTCAACCACTAAGGAATTAAAGACAACGACTCACCCACAAGCCCTAACCACTGTCCAAATATAAACACCCTCTTTTGATAAGTCATTTGTGGGTTGTGTAGAGTTTTCCATAGCCAAAAGACTAACTTGCTATATAAACTCCCTTGTTTTATTTTGGTGGTGACTATGAGATGTGAAACAAAAACTGAGAGAAGAACTACCAAAAAAAAAAAAAAAAATGTATTACCAGAACATGTCTAGAGATATACAATTTCTAGAAAAAGAATGTGTTGAGCTCTTTGCAACCCTTAATGAAAAACAAGCCACTAAAGTTCAGAAAATCATCAATTTAGCCTTCGGAAACTACATCCTAAATGCAAAAAAAGTCCCTTATGCTTTTGAATTCTTGCTGAATGTAATAAAAGAAGTTAGTACTAATAGTGAATCAGAAGAGAAAAAATTATGTATCTACCTCCTTACATCTGAATAAATATCGTCCCTAAAAACCAAAGAAGTTCACTACTAGTAGCACCTCCCCCAAAAATTTATTTAACTAAACTCTGCCAAGAAATAGAGGTAATGGTTACTAAAGTACTTAATGAATATTTGGAGGTTTTAGACACTTAGGAAGAAATTAATATCGAAGAACTTCTTTGAGAATTAACAACTAAATATGATAACATCGCAAAGAACTAGTTTCTCCAAAAAGAATATTCTGCTGAAACTTAACTTGAAAAAAATAAACTTTAGGCATTTACTTCGTATAGAAAATCAGCAAATGAGGGAAATTCGAATAGAATTTATCAAGTTGGAGTTTGTTATGACTTAGAAATTAGAGTTGAAACTGATAAACAAAAGGCATTTGAACACTACAAAAGTTCTGCTAAGTCAGGCAATTCAAAAGGATTCTCTAAAATAATTGAGTTATCTGATGAAATGGGTTATACAGATAGAATAAACAACCTTGGAGGTTATTATCAAATTGAAATTGGAATCGAAAAAAATGAACTGCCTATAAGCCTTAGCTTTCTGAACTTTGTATTCCAAACGAATTCAAAGCTGAGAAGGACCAATCAAATAAAGGATGACCTGTTCTAGACCAAGACCTTGAAAGAACCTGTGATGAGTGGATAAAATAGGTTAGTGAGTTTTGAAAAATAGAGCAAAATAATTGAATCATGATAGCTAAGGAAAAAAAGACCAGCATCTGTGTAGCATAATAAAAACTGAAACCACTTCTAGTCTTGTTAAGCTAAAAGTGAGAATTCTTAGCTGTAAAAATAATGAGAAAAGGAAAGCTTCGAAAGATAGACCTAAAAATAAAAGGATTAGATTAAAATTAGTAACAAAAAGATCTCCAAACCTGAAAGCCTCCTGATGTGTGATACTATATCATTTAAGCTTCAAGATCTTTGACTCCAAAAGAAAATAATAATAAAAAAAAAAAAAAAAATCAAAAGGAATAGGATCTAAACTTTGGTTCATACTATCTAGTTCATGGTACTTACCTTAAGTAGAGGAGAAATATGAAATGTGAAAATTACTCTGGAAAACATATAAGGGTCAAAGGTTAAAGTGCTGCAATATCTGCATGTAGGCATACAGATCTCTAACCTTTAATAGACTTCTTGAGGATAAAAGAGCTAAAACTCTTTTAAGTAATAAATGGTATAAGAGAGTTTTAATAAATTAAAGAGATTAAGAGAGGAAAAGAGGTATAAGGGATTAATGAATTTTAGTAATTTTAGTATGTTTAAGATATTAAAATATTAAAATAAGTATAAGTATTATAAATTGTAAAAGAGTTATATGAAATATAGTGCTATAAATTGTATATATTTAGAGCATAATCACTCATAATAAAGAACAACTCTTGGTAGTTTTGCTTATTAAATAAATTGAAATCTTTATTAAAATAATTATTAATTTCTAATACATAACCTCCAAATACATAATAATTTTGCTAAACTAACTACCTTTTTACAATTTCGCTATTACTAAATTGACATACAGTATATCTACTATTGTCTTGCCTACATAATACATATCTGTAAATTGTCTGATTAATCTTGATGTACTGAGATTAATCATAGTTCCTGATTCTAACTGACTCAACATACTGAGGTTAGTTGTAGTTATTTTATTTGTTTCCAACTAGCTCGATGTATTGTGGTTGGTTGTAGTTATTTGTTTTGATTCCAGTTACCCAATAAACTGAGGTAACTGTAGTTTTAAATATTGGAATATCTGATGTACTGTTGTGTTTCTTCTCTAAAGTTAAAAGCCTATAAGTGGTCTATCCTAAAGTAAATAGAAGATTAATATTAGTGGTATCACTTCCAAAAACTCAACTACTAAGGAATTAAAGACAACTACTTACCCACAAGCTCTAACTACTGTCTAAATCTAAATACCTCTTTCAATAAGCTATTTGTAGATTGTGTAGAGTTTTCTATAGCCAAGAGACTGACTCACTATATAAACTCTCTTGTTTTAATATTGTGAGAGGCAAAATGTGATCTAGCTGTAGGCATGTAAGTAAGTAAGAAAACGTAACTTAGCTGTAGGCATGTGAGCAACATAATTCTCTTGAACAAGATTCTGAGCCAAGCTAAGCTACTGAATCCTACATGAAAAAATAGGATTTGAATAAAATGCTATATTGGGTTAGTTCGAGGTGAAGTTTATTGAATAATGGCTTTATATCATAATTATGTAAATAAATCATTGCTAGCTTGTAGATTCTCCCTCTAATACTCA